GATGTGGTCCTGACGCCCCTGGGTGTCAGAGGAAGACGCAGAACCAGCCTGGGCTCGCACGCAGCGATCGGCTCCCCATCCAGTCGTCGTTCTAGAATGGTCTCCCACTTGCCCCCAAACCATGTATTCCCGTCTGTGGCATCCGTCTGGTGTGTTTTTTCCTTTTTTTTTTTTTTCCTTTTTAAGCGAGGCAGTAAACCAAGGAGATAACAGTGGGTCAGTGTCGTTTGCCAACTTTTACACTTGACGATGAGCCGTGTGTGAGCGTGTTTGGGTTTGGGGACCCCAGTTGGGTGAGGGTAACGGCCGAGAGGACCGTGCCTAGCACTGCAGTGCAAGAGGACGAGTAATTTAGCAATAAAGTTCACTTCGTAAGCAGTTTCCACTAATAACAGCAGTACGGCTGACTCGTGGGAAGAGCGAGGGCGCGGAAGGATTCACCTGAGCAAGCGAGACCGAGGCTCCGGTGACATGCCTAGGTGTGGGTTACCTCTAAAACTTCCAAAGACACCGGTGAGCTCTGTAGCGGCTGCTTGAAGGACCGGGCCCTGCAAGCTTACTGATTTCCAGACCTGTCCTGACGCAGAGCGGACTGAAGTCAACGTTACCTGGTTGCATATACAGGAGCATAGGTCCTGAGGGTGTTTGGTCACGACATAACTAAATGCTGAGCTAGGTGTTAAGGCAAAGCAAGTCATTAGACCGAGCAGTGAAAAAACTGTCGACTTTAGTCCTCCCCCAACTCTATAAAACTTCAAACCTACGGGAAAATTGGGGAGGAGGGGGCGGGAAGTCATACTGTGGATATCCGTATACCCTTTGTGTGGGGTCACTGTTAACCCGAACCATGTTTACTTTCTCTCATGTGCGCGCACACACACACACACACACACACACACACACGATCTTAACTGTTGACTTTATTTTTAAAAAATATAAATGCACTATAATTTCCTAAGGCACTTAAAAGTATTTAGCTTGGGACAGTGTGCAGTTGATCACGCAGGTACTCCCAGACTTCAGTTGTAGTTGTCCTATAATGGGAAAAATGTCCTAAGCTCTGTAAACTATTAGTGCATTCCATCGAAGAAGGAAAAAACCTCACACTTGGCCGTAGTTCCAAAAGGGAGTATTAAACATTTTTTTTTTTTTTTTGAGTTGGAGTCTCACTTTGTCTCCCAGACTGGAGTGCGGTGGCCGCTCCCGGCCACTGCAGCCTCGACCCGCTGGGCTCTGCGATCCATCCGCCTCAGCCTTTTGAGTAGCCGGAATTACAGGCACACGCTACCACGCCCGGCTGATTTTTTTTATTTTTTTTGAGTTGGAGTCTCACTCGGTCGCCCAGACTGGAGTGCAGTGGCCGCTCTCGGCCACCGCAGCCTCTACCTGCTGGGCTCCGGCGATCCTTCCACCTCAGCCTTCTGCGTAGCCGGAATTACAGGCACGCGCTACCACGCCCGACCCATTTTTTGATTTATTGTAGAGGTGAGGTCTCGCTGCCCAGGCGGGTCTCGAACCCATGGGCTCAGGCAATCCACTCACCTCAGCCTCCCAAAGGTGCGGGATTACAGGCTGAGCCACCGAGCCCGGCTTTTTTTTTTTTTTTTTTTTTATTGTAGAGATGAGGTCTCGCCCAAGTCGCCCAGGTGGGCCTCTTTAAAAGACACTAGCCTTTTCCAGAATTTTTAGGTAAATTCGAGTTTAGTTTGTATCTTCTGAAATGTTCTGAACCCCAAGTTAGATTTTAATGTAGGAGACCTGAGCGTCTATGGAAGTATGTGAATTGTTCTATGCAGTTATGACAGGGGCAGCCCTTGGATGGACAGGCTGCAAATAATCATCTTGTCTTCTTTTCTTAAGTATTGACATAGAATCCTGGGGAATTGGTCCTAGAAAAGGAGCTAATACCGTCTGGAGAACTGATACAAAGATTCAGACTATTTCCCAAATCCCTGCATTGCTTCCCTGGATTGAGTTCAGAGAGCTGAGAAGAGAAAGATCAGTTAAGAGACTACGAGTACCCTGATTTTTCTTTTTCCAAAAGGGTATGATTTTGTTTTTTTCTGTTGGCACTTTCTAGGGACTGGTCTATAAACTTTTGAAAGATCATAGAATAAATTTCTTTTTAGCTTCCTATTTTAGTGCTTATATTAGAAGAACCTCAGGTATCCCTGCTTATAAGCTATTAGGACCATTTCTCAGCCTCAGGCTACTTCATATGCTTTTCTATTTTGCCACAGTTCCCAGAAAAATTCACATTTTCTAGTCTTTTCTTTAAAAATTGCTTATAGAGATGGGAGCAGATCTCCTTAAAAGCCCTGAAAATTAAACAGATGTTCTTTTTAAAGTGCTATTCCACTGTAAACCTTATTCTCACTTTTTAATGCACAGAATAGTTTTATTATTTATTTTGTGTGGACACTATTTCCTTGTTTCTGATATTTAAATTCCATAGTGTATGCTCTTTCCACATTTTGTTTTATGGGTAGTTTACCATGAATACTTGGATTGGCTCCATCTTCCAGCTATCACCACCAAAGCTGCCCTGAACATTATCTGTTATTTTATTTGTTTGGTTTTTTTTTGAGTTGGAGTCTCACTCTGTCGCCCAGACTGGAGTGCAGTGGCCGCTCCCGGCCACCGCAGCCTCAACCTGCTGGGCTCCGGCGATCCTTCTGCCTCAGCCTTCCGAGTAACCGAAATTACAGGCATGCGCTACCACGCCCAGCTGATTTTTTGATTTATTGTAGAGACGAGGTCTCGCTGCCCAGGCGGGTCTTGAACCTGCGGGCTCAGGCAATCCACTCACCTCAGCCTCCCAAAGGCGCGGGATTACAGGCTGAGCCACCGAACCTGGCTTATTTTATTTATTTGTTTAGTTTGAGTGAGGTCCCACTGCTTCCTCAAGGTTGGAGTGCAGTGGCACAATCACGTCTCACTGTGGCCTTGACCTTCTGGGCTCAGACATTCCTTCCACCTCAGCCTTCCAAACAACTGGGACTACGGGCATGTGACACCTGGCTACTCCTGGCTAATTTTTAAAAAAATTTTGTGGAGATGAGATCTCACTATGTTGCTTAGACTGGTCTCGCACTCCTGGACTCAAGTGATCCTCCCACCCCAGTCTAAGAGTCCTGGGATTACAGGTGTCAGCCACCCCTCCTGGCCAGTTTTTTTAGAGAGAGAGTCCTGCTCTGTTGCCAAGGCTGGTCTTGAACTCCTGGCTTCAAGTAGTCTCTGAATATTATCTTTTATTTATTTATTTTATGGAGATGAGGCCTTGCTGTGTTGCCAAGGCTGGTCTGGAACTCTTGGCCTCAAGCATTCTTCCCCACACAGCCTCCCAAAATGCTGAGACTACAGGCATGAGCCACTGTGAGCTCCCAGCTCCTAGACCTGAACATCATCAATCAATGGGAGAATTTCTCTGGAATGCTTAGGGGTGAAATTTCTGGGTCATAGGTAAAAGCATGCAAGATTTGAGCAAGAGCTGCTAGATTTTTCTGAATATCTAAACTTGTCTGTACCCCATCTGCAGAGGCAGAGTAGTCTTCTGTCCGCACGTCCCTACCAGTCTCATTTAACTTTCTAACATTTACCATAGAAAGACACAGTGTAAAGTGGTAGTTGTTTTAAATAGCATTTTTGAATGATCTGGATTTGAACATTTCTTCATATCCTGAGCCAGTTTGGTCTCCCTTTATGTGAATATCCTTTTCCTGTGCTTTGCCTCCTTTTCTAGTTTGTCCTTTTTTTAAAATCAAATTTCAGGAAGTTGTTATCTATTCTATGTATTAGTTCCTTTCCCACTTTTGGATATTAGAAATATCTTTCCATTCTGTAGCCTGTCTGTTGAACATAAACCTTAATTTTTATGTAATAAATCCATCTGTTCTTTTCTTATTGTTTATGTTTTTGGAATTTTATTTAAGAAATCTTTTTTAATCCTTGAGCCACAAAAATAGTTTTCACCATTTTATTCTATTGCCTTTGTAGTTTTACCTTTTATGTTTAAGCCTTTAGGGCATTTTTATATGGTGTCCTTATTTTTTTTTTTTTTTGAGTTGGAGTCTCACTCCGTTGCCCAGACTGGAGTGCAGTGGCCGCTCCCGGCTACCGCAGCCTCGACCCGCTGGGCTCTTGGCTGGCGATCCTTCCGCCTCAGCCTTCCGAGTAGCCGGAATTACAGGTGCGTGCTACCATGCCCGGCTGATTTTTGATTTATTGTAGAGATGAAGTCTCACTGCCCAGGCGGGTCTCGAACCCACGGGCTCAGGCAATCCACTCACCTCAGCCTCCCAAAGGCGCGGGATTACAGGCTGAGCCACCGAACCCGGCTAGGTGGTGTCCTTATTTATTCAGCACACATTAATGGAGTGCCTACAGAGGGTAGGCACTGTCTAAAGTACTCTATTTATCTGTGAACACTTGTGAAGCTTATGTTGTCCTACGTGGTTGAGCTCTATCTACTAGGTCACCACCTGTTTATGCTTTTATTTAGCACTCAGGATGAGTTCCACAATTTTACATATAGCACCCATTAAGGAACAGGTTATACTGGAGAAAAAGGAGAAAAGAATACAAAGGTCCCTTGTTTTTTCCATCATCTCAAAAAGAAGCCCGCACAATCTGCTAGACATGCTGATTGTCATTATAGGGTAAGTGTGAGAGCAACTTTAGTAAAATAGGAAAAATCAGACCATTTTTGTGCCAGACAGTCTAGATTTGGGTTCCAGCTACTAAAATAACATTGTCCAAAAACCAGCTGCCAGCAGTTGGAGATATGGGACCTGAGGAGAGTTACAGCCCTTTCTAAAGTGGGAAGAAATCCTGTTAGTAGTCCTAATGTAACAAATTACTACAAAATTAGTGGCTTAGAAACGCCACTAGTTTATTATCCTACATTTCTAGAAGTCAGAACTCTGAATTGGGTCTCTGGGCTAAAACTGGGTATTGGCAGGGCTGTGTTCCTTGTAGAACCTCTAGTGGAGATTTTGCTCCTTGTCTCACTTTTAGAAGCTGCCTGCATTCCTTGGCTAGTGGCTCCTTTCCTCCGTCTTCAGAGCCAGTTGCCGCTGAGCAGTCGAGTCCTCACATTGAATCACTCTGGCTCTCTTCCAGTTTCCTTTTCACTTGTAATGACCTTGTGATTTCACTGGGCCCACCTAGATAATCTAGGATAATTTATGTTAGGGTCGGTTGATTAGTAGCCTTAAGTCCATCTGCAACCTTTATTCTCCTTTGCCTTGTAACTTAACATATTCACAGGTTCTGGGTTATTATTCTGCTTTCTACAGAGACTTCCATCCCTTGAGAAGTTGAGACTTGATAAGGCCCCTCCCATTTCAAGAAGGTAGGGAAGTCCCTCATCCAGACAAACCAATTTAAGTTCTGTGGTCACTTTTGGACAGTTTTGGTTTTTGTACTTTTGTGAAAATCCAAAAGGGGAAGAAAGACAATAAATATAATAAGCTAATATATAGTTTGTTAAAGGTCAAATGCTGTGAAAAACAAGGAAAGGGGGTAAGGGAGAGACAAATTAGAGAATTAAATGGAAGTGGTCAGGGTAAACCTCATTAAGAAGATGAGATTTGATCAGAGACCTCAACGAGGTAAGGCATTTAGTCAAGAGGATACTTTAGGAAGTTAGGTTCCAAGCAGACTGAAGAGTGAGAGCAAAGCCATAGAGCAGGAAGACACAAGGAAGCTAGTGTGGGAGAGGAGTCAGAGTGATCACGGGGTGGGGATGAGAGGAGGTCATATAGGGCTTGTGGCCTTTGTGAAGTCTTCAGATTTTTATTGTGATTGGCATATCAAATAAGTGCTATGTTCTAGCTTCTTTTATTTTTACCACTACCCTAACGGGCTTCGGTTTTAAAAAGGATCACGCTCTGACTGTTGTGTTAACTGAAAATACAGTGTAGGGGGCAAGGGCAGACACAGGGAACCCTGTTAGGATACTATTGCAGTACTCCAGGTAATAGGCAGTCGTGGCTTTTGTACTAGGATATGCAATATGAAGCCTGTCTCTGAAAAAACGGTGACCAGCCTCACCTGGAATGATGTATATTTGGGTTGATACACCTTAAGTGTGACATTATGAAGCCACGGGTGGCTTAGCCTCACTAACAGCTAAATAGTGTTCATATGAAGGTGAGCTCAAAATAAGATTTCTTATGTAAAGCATTTGGTTGGGGAGCCTGATACTCAGTAAGTAATGGTTATTATTAATAGGAATGAGTATTTTAATTCTTCATTTTGTAGAGTCTTGTAAGTGGAAGCACAGACTCCTTTGCAAATAAATGTTGGGATACTAAATTTAGCACATCGTTCCTTATAAAGATAAGCCTTTTTTAGCTGTGGTAATAAACTTAGGTGCTGTGGACCTAAATGTGGAGTCCAAAGACAGATTCAACCTATAGTAAGGTAGTTAAAAGAATCTGGAATTTATGCATTAACGCCTTGAAAATGGCCATAAAGAAATACCTATAAATATATAGCTATTTTATGCATGACTTAGCATTTTAAAAATTATAATGTTTTTGTATCAGTGTTTGTTTAAAACAGTAAGTATTAATTTTATATGCGGTAACTAAAAACTGAAATAATGATTTGTTTAAAATAAAACCACCTCTGAAAAAATAAGTCTTTAAAAAGATTCTAGTGTGTGTTATCAAGGCAATAATGTGCATTTCCATAATTTTTTACTTTGTTTTGCTGTTTTATATTATGCTTGCATGTATAAGATGTAATTTGTAACACAAATCCTAGATATGATTATATATTGCTCTATCAGTACAGTGCTTTGCAATAAATTCTGCTAATAAGGTACAACTTTTAGCTGAACAATTATAGTTAACATCTCCATGTTAAGTTTCAGGTTTGAATTTTTTATTGAGATTATGAGTTGCCTTAGTATAGTTAACACACTTTTCATTTGATTTTGAAGTAACTTAAATTAACTTACTGACTGAGATTTGGCCCAAAGCAATCCCGATAAATTTAGTAGAATGATGAAGTTATCATGTCAGGCTAATAAAACCAGGTTTTAAAAAACCAGTTTATAAATATGTGAAGATTAATTCCTTCTCTTCTGCATAGGGCAATTGTGCTTTATTTTTATTTTTTTCGAGTTGAGATCTCGCTCTGTCACCTAGGCTGGGGTACAATGGCACAAGCGCAGCTCACTGAGCTTCGACCTCCTGGGCTTAGGATCCTTTTGTCTCAGCCTCTGGAATAATTGGGACTACAGGTGTGTACCATTACACCTGACTCATTTTTTAATTTTTTTTTTTTTTTTTTTTAGAGACAAGGTCTCGCTGTGTTCCCAGGCTGGTCTCAAACTCTTGGACTAGATTCAAGCAATCCTACTGCCTCAGCCTCCCAAATGTTGGGATTACAGGCGTGACCCACCACACCCAGGCTGTACCATGCTTTTATTTGAATTTGGTCTCTACTTCTTGTATCATTTCTGTTTATGTAGATAATTTTAAAATCTCTTAAAATTTAATTCTTGCAGGACTGGTCTTTTGAAATACTTCAACCATGACTAAAAGAGAAGCAGAGGAGCTGATAGAAATTGAGATTGATGGAACAGAGAAACCAGAGTGCACAGAAGAAAGGTTGGTGTTTTCTGAATTTACCATGTAAGAAAAATACTATCTTGTATGGCTGCCATGTTACCTAGCTTTGGCCCCCACTCTGCTTTGTGAAGGTGAATCTCCTCTCTCTCTC